GTCTCTCAGTTGAAGCGCGTGGTTTGGGGATCCCACTCAGCGACCTACACCAGCAAGAGCAAAGTCAACAACTACAAATGCCAAAGTAAGAAACAAAAACAACAACGACAGCAGGACAGGATCAAGAAGAAAAATGCAAAACGAAACGGTATGACAAGTCGCGGGTATAAACAACAAAAACAAAACAAACGAACAAAAAAGACAAACAACAAAATGTAATCGTAAGGAATATTCTAAACAACTACAACAGCAAAAGAACAAAAACAAAGCATCATATGAAGGGCAAGTAAAACTACGACGAAGGGAGATTAGCAATTATCATGTTTAATTATGATAATTTACTACCATTATTCATATACACAAAAAACTTTTAAGGAAATGTAAAAAAATAAGATAAACAATGCCCACACACACACACACACACATATATATACATATATATATATATATATATATATATATATATATATATATACATATATATATATATATATATATATATATATATATATATATATATATATATATACATACGTGTATATATATATATATATATATATATATATATATATATATATATATATATATATATATATATATATATATATACATACGTGTATATAAATATATATATATATATATATATATATATATATATATATTTGTGTGTGTGTGTGTGTGTGTGTGTGTGTGTGTGTGTGTGTGTGTGTGTGTGTGTGTGTGTGTGTGTGTGTGTGTGTGTGTGTGTGTGTGTGTGTGTGTACACACACACATACATGTATGTATGGATGCATGTATGTATGTGTGTGTGTGTGTGTGTGTGTGTGTATATATATATATATATATATATATATATATATATATATATATATATATATATATGTATATATATATATATATATATATATATATATATATATATATATATATATATATATATAGTATGTATATATATATAGTGTATGTGTGTGATAGATGTAGAAAGAGAGAAATTCAATGAGTATCTAAATCATCTACTGTATTCATAAAAGCTCAAATTTTAGTCGCGGCTGTTAGTGCCCTCCGCTCCAGTAGGGGGAGGAAAGCGAGGTAAAAGCAAGCAAACAAAATTACAAAAATAGGGAAAAGGATGAAGAGAGAGAGAGAAAGAGAAAATGAGAGCGCATGAAGGGATGACCTCTGTGTGTGTCTCTGAGGTGATGACGGAGGATCGCCTGCCCAATCTCGCCCCAACGGAATACAAGAGATCCCTATTACCCTGTGACTCTTTTCCCAATGGCACGCGAGACATTCCCCGTATCTCAGGGCGTCGCCATAACTTGAATACCACATGAAAGGGTTGGACTTCACGTGTTTTTTTAATCGGAAGCAATCATCTTAATGATAATTAACTCTGCACTGAAGCCGAGCCAACGCGGGGCCACACGGAGCAGCAAGACCAACGGCACAAACAACTCTCACTTGTTTAGCAAAGTGTAGCTCATAAAATATGCAAATTCCATTAACAGAAAGGCGTCAGCTGACATGACAAACAACACCATTATTGACAAGAGAACGCAAAATGAACGGCTCATTCCACACTAGGCCTCCCTAGTTAAAACACTCATTACTGACGAAAGAATGCAATTTCCATGAACAACAGTTTAGAAATCAGTACTGGCAGCCAAAGACATTTCACAGGACCCAAATATCGCTGTTTCAATGCCCCATTTTAGCGAAGCCATTAATCAATAGAATTTTGAAATGGCGGTTTGCGAAGACAAAAGAAGATCGAGCAAGAAGTGGCACTGCACACGTATCCTGACACCTTGGAGGAGGAGGACCAACAATGGCACTCCAGCACACCCAAAAAGAGAATAAAAAAAGCAAGCCAGATGCAGCAATCAATTGGTTTATCATGACTTTATTATTTTTTTTTTTACCTTAGTCGCTCTCGAGTTCCACAGTCTTTGAGTCCTGTTCTTGGAGCAACCTTGAATTTCCCATTGGCTGGAGTGGGACTACACTGTAATCTGATTGGTTGGAGGGATCTCGATTAGTTCTGTGATTGGTCGGTTCGTTTGTTGTGATACTGTGTTGTAATTGGGCGGGTTTCTTTTTACCGCTTTTTAGAAAGGGATTTTCAGAATATGGTAAATTTGGTAATTAAATTTTTATATATCTTTTTTTATAAAGATATATTTCTTTTTAATTAAAAAAATATAATTTCAGAATGAATGCCAAAATTCCAAATAGAAATTAGTCAGATACTCATAACAACGTGTCTTTGGAAGAAATTTCTTATAATCCAAAGAATGAAATTTATATTTTGATCTCTTATGCTTACAATCCACTTATTTTCATGATTTTCAACCGCATTTCAAGGATAAGTATTCACTGCGAGTTTTGAGTTAATGAAACCGTACGAAACCGAATGAAAATGAAAAATCTACGAAGATTTGCGATACTGTAGAGGAAGGTGGAGAGGGAGGGAGGGAGGGAGAGAGAGAGAGAGAGAGAG